TGTATTTCAGTAACTTCTACAGACTCTTACTCTTGCAATTGCACAGAAAACCCAACTTTTTTTTTATTGGTGGAAAGTGATGTATGGTACTTAATCTAATGATTAGCAAGCCCGCCTTGCAGTCAAGAGGTCCGGGGTTTGAATCTCAGCCCAAAGTCAGCTGGAATAAACTCCATCTCATCTGTTACCGGCGGTACGGTGGGCGACTGTTTAGTACGTCCGCCTCACAGTGCAGAGGTGCAGGGTTCGATTCCGGCTCTGGCCTTCCTGTGTGGAGTTTGCCTGTTCTCCTCATGCCTTCGTGGGTTTTCTCCGGGTACTCTGGTTTCCTCCCACATTCCAAAAACATGCTTTGCAGGTTAATGAGGCACTCAAAATTGTCCCTAGGTGTGATTGTGAGCGCGAATGGTTGTTTGTATTTGTGTGCCCTACGAATGGCTGGCAACCATTTCAGCGTGTACCCTACGTACTGCCCGAAGAGATCTGGGATAGGCTCCAGCATGCCCGGGACCCTTTGTGAGGATAAATGGATTAGATAATGGACGGATGGATTGATTATCTGCTACCCTAAACAGTAAAAGCGCTATAAAAGCCAGATGGATAGGAAACACTGCATTGTGCTGATGTTACTTGAGTAAAATTGGATCTGTGGTTTGTAAAGGCTGGCATCAGTCCAACAGAATCCTAGGAACAGCATTAGAGAGGGTGTATATTTATGTTTGCGGCCATGTGCCAACAGCTCCACAGGTCATCCGTAAGATCAGAGGGGAGCCTTTCCCAGATGCCTCCGGACACCTAAAGCTGTGGTGCCAGTTTTTCAACGTGCTCTCCGACTCCACCATTAAATGGTTCAGGGATGAAGAGGAAATACTGGAGGTCAAGAGAAGGTAGATGGGACGTCATCGCCAGCTCAAACACAGATCTCCGTTGCCAAGTTGTGGGCCGAATGGCATCTCTGTGCTATTGTTCGGGGGATATACGGACAGCATGACTGGCCATAAAGCCGTACTGATATAAAACAAATGATTCTATGAGGATTAGGATGAGAATTTATTTAGTCGGAGAGTACCCGGTGGGCTTCTGTCTGTCTCAGATTCTCAGCGCACAGACTTACAGCTCATGTGACTGTCAACCTCACAGCTGTGACACGGAAACTGGCTAGACGCATGAACTGTAATACGACACAATATTTTTTCCCCATCTTCGGGGGGCATTAAAAATCTATATATATATATATATATGCACTTTTGCTCGCTGTATTAGCAGCGTGTTGCCACATGCAACGGTCCTCTGTGTTATAGCGACACCTTGTGCCCTCTATCGGGTCACGGACTTTTTTTGTGGGCTGCTACTGATGTTTGTGCACGTTGTCTTCAAGTGCTGGGGATGAGACTCAAGTGGCACTTGCCATCGTTCTGGCCGCAAACCAAGATTGCGGCGTGTACGGCTGCAGCATCCAGAACGAGTACGGCACTGACACCACAGATTTCCTCCTCAGCGTAGACAGTAAGTTACAACATCCACGTTACTTTTATGACCATGAATCTATTCAATTAAATCACTCCTTTTTCTGTAATATTCGATTTTCTTTTTACAGTTCTGTCCGACATACTTCTCAGAGATGATTTGGAAGGTAACTTTCTTTCTTTCTTTAACCTGATCTGTTCGATGCTAGTTATAGCAAAATAGTTTAGCTGTGCAACGGGAGTTTGACATACTCCCTCCGTTATGTGTATTGAGAAGTGTTAAGAAGACATTTTGTTTCAGCCATCATAAACTGGGAGATTTTTAAAAAAATACAAATAAAAACTCTAAGACGTGTGCATAGGTTAAAAATTAAAAGGGGAGAAGCAAAACTTATGACGTGGGCCCACCCACAACACTATAGTGCTGTACAGTATATGTTAAATTGTATTTATTCATAATTAAATAAGTAAAGACTTGAATTTTGAGTGAGGTTGATACACATTTTGATAATTCAATTTTATGAATATTTCATACACCAGGTTTGATATAAAAAAAAAATCCAAAATATGGATTTTCAATGTTTGCATAGAAATCATATACGGGTAGTATGAAAATTAATGGGAATCAGAGTAGATATTTTTTTCAGTAGGTGGTTCTTAATTTTAGATTTAAAAAGTGAATGTGATTCAACGATTCAACGACCATTGACCAGTCCAAGACGTAGTCTGCCGAAGTCAGCTCAGATATGCTCCAGCTACCCAAGATCCTCAACAGGCTAAACTGGATAGAAAAGAATGGTGGAATTGCAGTCAGCATGCATGATGGACCCCACCGTTCTGACGTTTGGGGTTCGAATCTAGACTCTGGCCTTGCTCTCCAGCTCTTCTTCTTCATGAGTTCCACTTTGTAATATTTTCTCTAGTTGGGGAGGAGATAGAGATGACGCCGCTGCTGTTCACCAAGGGCCTCGCCAACTCCGGTAACTGGGGCGATAAGTACTTTGGCCGCATCATGACGGAGACGGCGCACATCGGTGAAGGTTGCAGCCATAAAGCCAGCAGAGTGAAAGTCATCTATGGCCTAAATCCTGTCTATGAGTCTGGGAGCACTTGTATCATCAAGGTTCCAAACCCCATCGCCTACGGGACCAAGCAGGATAACAACCTGATTGAAAGAAATCTGGAAATGACAAAGCAAGTGAGTGGAAGGAAATGTTTTGAGGTGAAAGTGCTTCTAATGAACCTCACGTTGCTGTTTTTGACTTGACTTCTTCTGTCAGGAATGCAAAATTCAGAACATGATGCGAGAATATTGTAAAATATTTGCAGCTGAAGCAAGAGTTCTCGAAAACTTTGGATCTTCACTCGAGTAAGTCACAAATCTAGCCCGCAAAGGCTTTTCTACTAAGTCCTTGTAAGTATGCTTTGTCTTTTCCGTCCACAGAGTAATCCCTCTGTACCTGATGTATCGACCTGCCAACTCTGTGCCGTACGCTACAGTGGAAGTTGACCTGGGGGAGGTCTTCCTTAAGTATTGTGTGACGGATGCAAAAGGCCGCCTAATTGCGCAAAGTGCCTCTGAGATAGAACAGAAATGCAGCACCTTCCAGCACTGGATTCACCAATGGACGCACGGCAATTTACTCATCACCCGCATGGAAGGTACAAAAAAAAAAAAAACCACTAGGTTCATTTATTTATTTATTTTTTAACATATAAATGTGTTACCGTATTAATTCTGTTTTTTTGCAGGTGTTGAAATGAAGATTACGAATGTTAGAGTGGCGACCAAGACAAAAGGGTTTGTGTTACACCTAATACGCACTGATGTTTTGGGTTGCTTGCTGTTAAGATAGATGGCTGCAATTAATGCCCCCCCATCACTGTGTTTCAGCTACCAAGGCCTGACAGCCTGCAGCTCTCCAGAAGTCTTTGAGCAGTTCCCGACAGTCCACCTCTGCAACTACTACTGCGGACTTCTCGGCCTGCGCCCGCTCAAGACTCAGGACCAGCAGCAGACCACCAAGGTGAAGGGCTCCAGGAGCCCTTTGTTCAACCGCAAAACAGGCTCCGGCAGCCCACAGCCGCATCGTAAAGGACACAGCCCTCAGATGGCACGGAAATCTAACGTGAGCCCAAAGGTGACGAGGAAAGCCCAAGAGACTGAGGACAACGATTCAAATGGCAAACTCAAGGTTGCCGAAACTACTGACCCTCTTGAAATAAGGTAGGAGAGTATTTTAGATGTTTCTCTCCAGTTTAATAGGAGTTTCCTGTTATCAAAAATAAAACCGTGAAGGATCATGGGACGTCTCCCCACGACAAATGTGACTACAATATAAAATCGTGCACAAGTGATATATGCTGAACTTTTCCGCACGGGGCCTCATTAGAGTTGATGTTACACTACTGAATTATGACAAACATGTGCCTCAGAGTCTTATCAGCTCCACGAGTGGACTCTCAGCAGTACTTGTCGTGGCAGAAATGACAATTTCTTGAAGAGGTGTTCCAATACATACGAAGAGAGGGGGAGAGAGAGAACCATTTTGTTTTAAACGTTCACGTTTGGCGACGAAAGTTGCACAACACGCATGTTCATCTGTGTCGCAAAGTCTGTGCGCAGGGGCATCCTTTTTATTTTTAGCATAACTTGCAAATAAAATACACTGCAAATCTGAGCTTGCGCTGTTCCATTCAGCTTCATGAAAAGTCATACAATAGACACTTCATTAGGCACACCTGCACATTTGCGCACACACACACACAGTGGATAAAACAAATCAGTGATTGTAATTCTCAGGTGCAGGTATATCTAATGTTGTGCCAAGTGAGTGGAGTTGTGTGCACAAAAATAATAAGTTATGTTCCGTGATTTCTGTTTCTGCTGTTTGCTTGCTTATAGCAACAATCACATTTACGTTATGAGTTCCGTCATTTTAACCATGTTACGGTGCAGCTCATTGCCACGCCGAACAGCACATTGGCAGCTGGAACCCGAAAGCTGCTGATTCAGCTCCACGCTGTTATCTGCAGTCGACCCATGGACACATTGGGCAAAGTAGCGAAAAGAGCACATTCAGGATTTCACCCTTTATGTGAAGCTTAAGTACAACCTACTCAGTTCAAGTATTTTGTACTTTTTTTTCTTTTAAGATGAAAGCACGCAGGCTTCAACACTGCCATTATGTCTTGTTTCAGTTAATCAATTAAAATTCCAAACACAACTGGCATGGATGCATCAGGAATGTGTGCAATGGAATGATCAACGGGAGACAGCAGTTGGCTTAAAAAAAAAGTTACTTTTTCATTTGCATGGGAAGAAAAAAAACAAGTGGATAAGCATCAGATGCACGTGAAACATTTACAGTACTTCAAAGTGTGGTGACAAAAGGACAAAATGCAATTGGCTCTAACGTGTATCGGAGCGAGTGAAAGCGAGACAGTACAAATGTTTATAAACTGTCACACCATGTCAAACTAATATATTTTCTATTTTTAATAAAAATCTAAAACATTTGTTTTTGAGTAAGATTCATATTTCAGTACACAGGGGTCTTTATTGATTTTTTTTTCAATGCAGTGCATCCCTATACATAATAATCCATTAAAAATGTATGAATTGGATTTTGGGCTATTTACATTCATCCAACAGCTGATGTGTGAACGTTACCTGAGGTATTTTTCTTTTAACATTCAACAAGCTATAAAATTGAACTTCTTAATTCATTTACAATATAATACATGACAGTTAATACTGTATATCTATCTTAAAACATACTACAGTATGTATGCAATACACTTGGGGAAAAAAAATCCAAATCTTTATAACTGTAGTTGTTTGATTTTCTCGTATGAATGTGCGTCAATGTTAGTGCTTCACACACAAAGATGTAATGTGAATGTCAAAAGTCTACACAGATTTTTTGGTAATACAGAAGAATTAATGTGCACTTGAAACTACAACTCACTTTTTTTTTTTTTTTAGACGGGTGAGTAAAAGTAAAAACCTGAGATGTGGTTGCACAAGTGTACACACCCTGTTCTAACTGCGGCGTGTCTGTTCAGAATTAACCAAGCACATTCAAATTCATGTTAAAGCACACAACCGCCACCATTTCAAGTGCTTCTGAGTAACACCAAATAAACTTCGGTTGCTCTTGCAGGCTTTTCCTGACCTTTATTTTTCCTTTCTTACAGAAGCCTGAGGGTTTTGTGATCTCACAAACTACTTCATATTGTTCATTATTCCCTCCACCTTGCCTCAGGCCACACTTTGGTGTTCTTTTAGTGATGAGCAGTGTTGTGTTTGTGTCAAACATACATTTTGAAATGATGGACGATCTTGCTTTCATTGGACAATAAGAAAATCTCCCAAACATGCATTGGAAACTGTTACGTATGAATGGTGGGGGGAAAAAAAGTTTATAAATAATTTACCTCAGTCTCATTTTGTTACATCACAAAAACCCGGAATTTGAATTTGGACTGTGTAGACTTTTTACATCCACTATATGTATGTAAAAACCAGAAAGCTGAAAAAAGTGTTAAGTGCCTAAAAAGACTCAGTCATGTTGATTAAAGTCTCAAATTGAATTCCAGAAGGTAAACTTAGGAAAATATTTTCTTTTCCCAGCAGCTTTTAAATTTGTACAGACGTGGCAACCGATGGAACCTAACTACAATACAAGGATATACATAAAGTCTTCCGTTACAAACAAAGTGCCTCCTGAGCGACACCGCAGCACTGACAGCATTTCGCCAGATACAAGGTGGCGTTTTTAACCGTGCTCCATGAGCCCTCGAATGAGATGCTCCCGTTGTTGACAGCACTGGAAAAAAAGTTACATGACAAGTCAGTACATGGTCACCCGAATAGACACCTTACCACAATTAATTGCACGGTCTGTCATCTAAGGGTACAGCTTAGTATTTTGAATTGAACTACTTGATTATAGTCTTCATGACCAGACATAAACAAGATACACAACATAGATAATCATAATAAATTGGAGCATCATAGAATTTTTTAAAATATTTCACTCTTTCAATTCAAGAAGCTAAACATATATCCTATAGATTCACTACACACACAGGCATATATTTACGGATATATATTTATATTTTTTATGATGGACTAACAATCCGACCAATCAACGGACAGCATCATGTTTGGTCAATCGTAGGCCACACAAACTGTTGACAAACATTCACACTTATATTCCCACAAATGCACAATTGAAATGAGATTTAAACCCAGAAACTCAAAACAGTGAGGCATACGTGCTAACCACTAGGCCCGCTGCACTGGCCACCAGCATATCCAGATATTAATTTACTTCTCAGGAATGTTATTGATTGATGTCTTCATGATTGTCATGAAATGAGTACATTTCAAAACATAAAAAATTTCATTGTTGGACAACAAAATCAACGTTTTTGTCATTTCCAACTAAAAGGCAATTCACCAAAAAATAATTCACTTTTGGCAATAAAAAAAAAAAAGAATGAACGCATCATTTGGGCCTGAACTGTATATTCTTTAGATCGGAAGTCAAGGCCTACCTTCCAAAGAGGTCCATGCAGCAGGTCTGCACGTTTACATCTGTGCCGTTGAAATCAGATTCACTGAACAACTTCACACAGTCGAACGGGGGAACGAATAGGATCCCTGAGAGGAGGTAAAAAAGGTAAGAGCAAAGCGCACAAGGATGATTTCTAAAGAAGCCGAAATGTAAGTGCAACCTACCCGCGATGCAAGCATTGACAAGCGAGACGCACGTGGCTGTGATCAAGGATCGCAACACCAGAACCGAGACATCGGTTCTTCTAGATGGGCATATAGAGGCTTTGATAAGAGAAAATGCTCTGTGTCAAACATCAGTACTGTGACAGGATGTTGAATGATTTAAAAAAATAAAAAAGACAATGGGATACTACTCACCTAGGCCACCAATCATGACGCCAAGGGAGCTGAAATTGGCAAAGCCACAGAGAGCATAGGTGGAGATGATTTCGGATCGGACCTGAAAGAATAAGACATTTGTATAAAAAGAACAGACACTGAAAATTAGGCCGGGGGAGCTAGCAAGCAATGTAGCTAGCCAGATAGCTAGCAAGGTAGCTAGCTAGCTAGATAGGTTTATATAGTGCATATCGTATCGCACGCCCTGTATCACAATACATATCAAATTATCTTTTATTGGAGAGATGCACACCCATAATGGAAATACAGTACACCCAAAAGAAAATAAACAACTGGTGTTCAAACCGTTATCTCGTGATACTTCAGTCCAGAGCAATTGGTTTTTGAGACCTACATTGGAGCCTTGAGATAAGTGGTACCCTACTCTGTGTCAAACGGAAGTCTTTTTTAATATAATGACATTCTTTTCCTTCAATGCGTGTGTGCACGCTTGTATGTGTGGAGAACTGCCACGTGTACTCACTGAAATCCACTGTCTTTCCCCGCCAATTACTGCATCCACTCCGTTGAGTCTGTTGCTCTTCAGTGTGGATAATTTCTCATAGGCCACAAATTCATTGAGGAACAGTTTGATGCCAATCAGCTCGGCGACGGTAAAACTCTCCTCAAACGGCACTCCCATCATGAAGGCCACCGGCATGAAAACGTACGAGCACAGTAACTGGAACAGAGGCAAGATTTTGACATACCACTTCAATAGCGGGCGGTGGTTCGGTGTTTCTCCATTTTACAGTGGCATACCTGAAAGGTGACTTCGGGGTATCCCACCATGCCTCCGAGCCAGCTCAGAGCCTCGTTGATAAAGGCAAGAATGGCGAGGAAGGCGATGAGATTCGCTGCGATGTTGGCAACCAAAGTGATGGAGGCTGACGCTCCGCTGCTGGCTGCCTCCAGAATGTTCCGTTCCTCTCTAGAGCATTGAGCAATGTGAAGGCGCACAAATCAACAGGCAAACAGTCCCGAACTGCATGATGGATACGCACCCACAAGCCACTTTGACAGTCTCCTCTGGTTTAAAGGGGCTCTCCTCCGTCTCTGGGAAGGACAGCTTGGAGAAGGCAAGTGCACAGGGAGCAGCCATGACCGAGGCTGATATTAAGGAGGATGCATCGATCTGCAACATAAAATCATTCAGAGTTCACTTCAACATGTTTTTTTGGCTTTTGCTTTTTTCTTAATTTCGTAGAGTCTGTCTTGGCCGTACAGCAATGGGAGGATGCTAGATGTATTTGTCCAATTAGATTTCAGTATTGCCATTTCCATTAAAAATCTGCCCATTTGGGCCTCCAGAAGCAATTGTGCTGAACAATGTAAATTTACGACAAAGTGAAGTGGAAATTCAGAGATTTTTTTTTCGAAATACATTATCCATGAATGCCGAAAACGTGTGCAAAGACCAAGAACTATGTAGGACTAAAATGCGGAAATAGCATCAAACTGTTTTTCATCATTTCACTTTTCCTGAATTTAACATGGCTAAAATAAGGCACACATTATTTGCATTTTTTAAAATGGTGTGTCTTTTTACCCCGAATGAGATGAATGCTCCCATAACGCTGCCTGCAATTGTGGCAAATCCTCCAGTCATAACAGCATGAATCTCAGATTTCGTCATGTCTTTTAAATAGGGCCGAATCAGCAGTGGTGCCTCTGTCTGTAGCACACAAAAAAAAAGGAAAGAACAAGCTGGGTGAATAACTGTTAAAAAAAATGTAATGCTGTAAAATCAGAACATGCTAGTTCTTAAGAAAATTACCTGGCCAATAAATATATTGCCTGCTACACTCAAAGTTTCTGTGGGAGAGGTTCCCATTGTTATCTGCATAATCCATGAGATCTATGTGGGCAAAAAAAAAAAAAAAAAAAACATCATGTGGTTAGAAGTCCTGCGTCAGTGATTCGGCATGTAGCCCTTCCTGGCCTATGAGATAGGACGTAAATGTTTACCTTCAGGATGAGCCACTGCATTAACCCCAGATAGTAAAGCACCGACATTATACTGCTGAAGAACACAACGATAGGCATTGCCTGAGGAAGACGCCAGTGGAGACATATGTTAATATCGCCTATTATCAGCTGCATGCATGCGATTTTGTCCATGTGTACAAGTCATCAAATTGCACATCATTTGTAGGGCCACTGACTTGGAAGGCAAAGATCCCGTTGACCAGATTTCCAAAAACAAATGAAGATCCTGCTTTGGTATAGTCCAGGAAAATCTAAAATGTACAAAACAAACATTTTATGATGGTAATCACCAGTGGTGTTTGAACCTCAGGATTGATCATTTCCAGTTGTGACTCACAGGACGCATTACAGCAACTCAGTAAAGATAGTGAGTGTAACTCAGCCCTAAAACAAATTATTATCGGAACAATCATCCACATGAGAACCCTCACATGACCCAAACATAAGGTTGAACAGCATTATAAAGCAGCCTTAGAGATTAGCACATGATTCTATGAGACTGTTAAACAAGCTTGTGACAGGTATAGAATCAGGCCTGTACTGGTTAAATAACAGGGAGTTGAACCCATCATGGAGGAATGCTGTTTACCAAATATGCTGGAGCCTATCCCAGCTGTCTTCGGGCAGTAGGCAGGGGACACCCTGAACCGGTTGCCAGCCAATCACAGGGCACACAGAGACGAACAACCAACCGTGCTCACACTCACACGGAGGGACAATTTAGAGTGTTCAATCAGCCCATGCATGTTTTTGGAATGTGGGAGGAAACCGGAGGACCCGGATAAAACCCACGCAGGAAAGAACATGCAAACTCCACATAGGAAGGTCGGAGCTGAAATCGAACCCACGACCTCTGCACTGTGAGGTCGACGTGCTATCCACCGAACCACCGGGCCACCTATATTTTATTCGAAAAGCTAAATATGACTAAATTGTACCTGAACAGTGCGATATACCACGAGAGGGAGCCTGTGTACCACATTCTGACAGTCAATGAAAGTGGGTAAAACTTGATGCACCTGCACTTGTCGTCCGAGCCACTGGAAAGCAATGAGTCCAGGCTCGGTTCTGATGACAAAAAGTCCGATGCAGAACTGCAACCCAAGGCCCCAAAACACAGGCCTCCAAGACACCTAAAAGTGAATAGACAACATCACACTTCTTTATCACAAAGGTGGTGTCGCGCTATCTGTCAGGAAGCCACCATAAAACGCCGTTGGAAGCAACTCTGCGAAACCCTCGGGATGATGCATGCACAACACCGAGCGATATCCAAAGTCTCAGCAAAACACATGAGAGATAAGTATCGAGATAAGGCACATTTCGAAATGATCGCCATGGTAATTATCAATATAATCAATACAGAAATAAAAACTCACTGTTGTCCTGTGGGCCGAGCAGAGGTACGTAAGCAGGATGAACATGCACACACCCCCGAAGGAAATAAGCTGCTCGGGACGCTGGCTCGTGTCTAGCACGAGCCACAGCGCCAGCAGGACCACTACAATCACGATGAAGACCCTGAAATACACAACGTTTCGTCAGTCGGAGCCCATTGTGAGGGCAGCCCAGCCATCACAACATCCACTCACCATTTGAGCCATCTTAAGTTGGATTTGAAAAGACGTGCTACAGGTCGAAAACACCGACTGATGCTCTTTCCCTTGTACTTCTTGATAAGGTCATAGGACTTGGACACAAAAACCAAACTGGTGAGGACCACCAGGGCAGTGGCCCGCTCAAAATCCAAAACACAGGCTGCAATGAAGTATGCCAAATAACCTATGGGACAAAAAAAAAACACTCAGACATTGGAGTATCATGAGGAACTGCTGAGAACTCACTTTAGGTCACTGATTTGAAGTGTTGGTGTAAAAGTTTTGAAAACCACTGTTTGTTACAGTACCTGCTCCGAGTATGCCCAGCAAAACGTACTTGAAGACTTTGGAGTGATTTTTCAAGTAATCCTCGGCGGCGTTAATCGGCTTGACTATTTGGCTAAAGAACACAAGAAAACAGATTAAGACTCCGTTGCGTGTTCATTGACCACTTTCTTGAATGAGTTTCTTATTATTTAATACAGGCGATTGAATTTTAGGCACACATGCACAACTCATAAAAAGTTTGGGATTTTCTGTTTTGGCGTGAAATTTCAGGACAAAGCTGAACTGCGTTATGATATCCTTTTCTTGTGCGACTGAGTATAGAGCACAGGTGTCAAACTCCGGCTCGTGAGGGATCAGGATTGTTATCAGGGTACTGCAGAGCTTGCTGATAAGGTGATCATTTGAATCAGGTGTGTTGGGGGAGGGAAACGTCCAATACACGCAGGATAGTGGCCCTCACGGACCGGAGTTTGACACCTGAGGCTTCGAGGGTCAAATAGTGTCATCAGCAGGTTGTAACAGAGCTACATAGAGACTCAGAGAGTCACAAAAAGGAAGCGGACGTCCTTGTTCGAGAACAGCAAGTTATGCAAAAAGTACACTGAAAAAAAAGAGTAAAATTGTATTTACCGTATGTTCCACACTAAAAGGCGCACTGGATTATGAGGTGCACCTTCAATGAATGGCCTATTCTGTAATTTTTTTCCATATATTAGACGCACCGCATTATAAGACGCAATCTACAATACATCCACGAGATGAAGCTACACTCAAGGAAATGCCAACAGAACACTGCACTACATCCTGATTTATATAGGGACGATCAGATGTCAGTAAAACTTCCTTAATAAAGCAGCGACGCAGTTCACTTAACCAACAGCAAGTTATAACATTGACTTGTTAACGTTGAACTCTCTTGCCCCTGCTCGATTTCCGTGTTCAACTGCGTAAACGATCCTTACGTTTGAACTCTGCGTTGTAAGCATGTCTCTAGCAAGGAGCCATTTTGAGGTCGACATATTACCGTAATACCCAATACACAAGGCGCATCGGATTTTAAGGCGCGCTGTTTTGTGAGCTTTTCAGAAAATGGGAGGCTTTTAGGTGCGCCTTTTAGTGAAGAAAAGATGGTACTTGATAAAGCCTTTTGTGTCAGCTCCTTATTAGCAAACAGAAAGTTATGCAAAAGGTACACTGGAAAAAAATGGGAGGGATATTGACTTAATAAAATCGATCTACTTATCTGACTTTTTTTACTAATACTATGCAAGTAAAAATGACTTGGAATTTCAGCAAGAAAAACGCCACTCCAAAATATTTTCAGTGAACTGAAATAGTTAACATACAAAGGTTTAGAGGAGATCAAATGACATTCACCTGTAAATGCGATTGTGTATTTAAGGTTCATCCTGAAATCTCAGCCAAAAGGTGAACATCATTAACTTCTTTTGAGTAGTGCATTGAAATGTATTCAAACAGATTATCCACTGAAAAAAAATGGTGGATGAATTTACCCAATTTTATTTCGGCAAGCATTTGCACATCATAAAATCATCTTCATACAACTTTAAGTTGATGTGTAGTATACTTAAAAAGTATATATGGATTCAGATGTTATTTTGTGCAACCACCTGACGAAATAAAAATGAGTAGATCCAGCACACCATTATTTTTTTCAGTGTTCTGGACTGTATGTTTATGACGTGTGGGACAAAGGAGATAAAAACAAAGGCACACTGTGGTGCACCGAGTTGTGCAACCACCTGACGAAATAAAAATGAGTAGATGCAGCACACCATTATTTTTTTCAGTGTACTGGACTGTATGTTTATGACGTGAAGGACAAAGGAGATAAAAACAAAAGGCACACTGTGGTGTACCGAAATGAACCAGACAAACCTTAGATATGATCCCAGTCCCTCTCTAGACCGCTCCGTTTGCTCTTTGGTGTTGCTCTCATCGACTGTGATGTCCTGCTGAGTACGTTTTTTTCAATGATGAGAAAACATGTTGTTACTTCCCCTCAAAAACGAACAATATCACATACCTCAATTTCAAACGCACGGTTGACCACTCCATTTCCAATGGCCACGTTTCCGTTTTCATTAGCCAAGCTTCCATTCTTGAGTTCAAATTTGTTTTTGTCCTCTGCAAAACACAAGTAACCTTCCGTTTGGTGCAAGCATGAACAATCAGGACGACAAACTAAGTTGCATTCGCAAGCCTATCGTGTGATGAAACCTTCCTCCAAAAAAATGAATAAAAATTAAAATAAAATAAAAAATAGGGTCACTTCAAAATGTGGATAAAGAAAAGGCCAAGAGATGAGTGTGAAACAAACAGGTGGAAGAAAAAGCAAAAGCTAATGGCTTACTCATTGTGTGTGCTCCTCAACTCGGTTGCCAAATGCTGCGCTGTCCAATACACTGCGGGGAAATATAGCCTACCCACTGCGAAACATCTTATCATTAACTGAGAGACGCACAAACTACTCCCAGCCCTTGAGGCACAGAAAAAAGGCGTGGATGAGGCCATAAACAACTAGCTTTGATGGACCTCATATTCAACTACTTTCCTCAAACCTGGATATAAACACAGTCAAAGACCTTTGAGTGAGTTCAAAGCAACAACTATGACACAACAAGTGAATGTATCAAAATTGCACATCAGTGAAACATACATTGAACAAAATACGTACAGTGTACAGTGTAGTGTATAATACAAACATCATGAAACACGCTTGGTGTTGGTTGCCAGCCAATCATAGGGCACACTAACAACCATTCGCACTCACAATCACACCGAGAGACAATTTACAGTCTTCCATTAACCTGCCATGCATGTTTTGGGAATGTGGGAGGAAACCAGAGTACCCAGAGAAAAGCCACGCAGGTACGAGGAGAACATGCAAACTGCACACAGGAAGGCCGGAGCCAGAATTGAACCATGAACCTCTGCAACGTGAGGTGGACGTGCTAACAATCCGACCGCCTTGCCGCCATGATTAAAGATATATAGTATGATTAAAAGATGAAATGCAGAAACACACACACGCACACACACACACACACACACACACACACACACAAACATTAAGGCTGTTGCAAATAAAGAATGAGAATCTGCAGGAATGTGATAATGTTGGTAATTTGATTTTTATGTTTGACATTTTCAAATATTCTCATTGATTATCAAGACAAATAAAGGATATCTAATCTAATCTAATCTAAAAAAAACAAATCAATTTCACCTACAACATAACAGGAGGGTTAATCGGAAATAAACTTGCAGTACGGTTCAAAAAAATAAATAAAGCTCCCAAAGTCTAGTTTATATTCTGCGGAAATATCATGCATTCATTTTGACAGGACAAGTGTCTCCATGTAATATAAAAACAGCAAAAGAGTAAAAATAGGGTCGACCGTATGTTTTTTTTAAACATTTAGTCAATGGTTTTATGTTTTTCAACTTCATTACAGGATGATAATAATTATTTTTGCAATTATATTGTGTACATATTTTTCTTGATTTCTAAAATGAAATACCTTCACACACAATATGACAGTGGGGTGTAAATATATTTGATTTTAAGAATAAACAAATACTCTCTGACATGGGAAATAAATACACTTGTAACATGACAAAATAAAAAGGGAGGGGAGGGGGGGAAGCATGAAAAGTACAATTGGCAAGAGAGGGAAAATTCCCTCACTTCCCTCACCTCACTTTGCTGTTGGGAGGTTGAATGTCTTCCAAGTGTTTATAGTGTAATGAGAACATTGACCTGTCTAATCAGATTTCAACCTCATTAATCTCCTCCATTAGATGTAAAAGAGTGCAGTCTGGACTGATATTTCCTACAGGGATGAAACATGACTGCTTTTAATGACTGAACTTTGGTCATCTCCTTCCTGCAAATGTCATCTTGTAGCAGCCTAAACAACATACGGCCTCTTGTAAAACGGTGCTGGTCCATGGTCCAGAAGAATTCAATGAAAATTATCACTGTGACGATATACTGTACAGTCATGGTTCACAATATGGCTGTAAGTAGGGCATTGTATGTATAAAAATGACATTGTTATGCAATCATAATTTGTTAACCGGTGGCATGATGCGTGACTGGTTAGCACATCGTCCTCACAGTGCAGAGGTGCCGGGTTCGATTCTGGCTCCGGCCTTCCTGTGTGGAGTTTGCATAGTCTCCCCGTGCCTGCGTGGGTTTTCTCCGGGTACTCCAGTTTTCTCACACATTCCAAAAACATGCGTGGCAGGCTAATGGAAGACGGAAAATTGTCCCTAGGTGTGAGTGTGAGCGCAAATGGTTGTTTGTCTATGTGTGCCCTGCTATTGGCTGGCAACCAGTTCAGAGTGTACCCGCCTACTGCCAGAAGACAGCTGGGATAGGGTCCAGCATAGCCGCAACCCTTGTGAGGATTAGCAGATTAGAAAATGGATGAATGGGACGATTTGCTAACCATCAAAACCTACAACTGTTTACAGCTGTGTGCAAAATGAATACAGTACAGTATTGGAGGTTTATCAGCAATTTTCCAATGAATTTCTAAGGGCCTCAATTATAAGAGGGCCAGCAATTATATTGACCAGATTTAAAATGCCATTTTTGTCATACATCTATCTTGTTAGGAAGGAAAAGTGGAAATAATGCCCCCCCCCTAGTAGCGCTAATGAAAAATATTGCTAACCTTGACCTTAGAATGGTTGGTGTATGTGAAGTCAAACATTTTCTTTGATTTAGGCTGAAATTGAGGTCGATTGTGCTTACAATGCAAACATCACGTGACCAAGTCAAAAAACAATTTCAGTCAACAGCAGGAGGCGCTGCTGTATAAAACGTCAACCGCCTTGAGAACGGGAGGCATTGGGTGAGTGGATTTATCTGCTCTATTTTTATTTCACCAACCCCAAAATGATCAGAATACAGTACTGACATTAATTGGCGCACGTAGAGCATATTATTAAAAAGAAGGTTTTGACTTGGTTTCCATTTGAAGTACAATTTGTTGACCCAATAACCGCTATATATTTTGCATCAGATAATACAGATTTTTCAACAACCCAGTTTTTTTTTAAACGTTTATCCTCACTAGAGTCGCGGATGTGCTTGAGTTGGGGCAAGAGTACATACCGGACTGGTCGCCATCCAAAATCACAGGGTACGGGTAGATTAACATTGACACCAAGGGACAATTTATTAAATGAACATGATGTGCATTTTTTTTCAATGTTAGAGTAAACATTCCAAACCTCAGAACTGTGAGGCCAATGTGCTAACCACCAGGTCACCGTGACACCCCATCCATACTGTCAAGTATTTGGAAAAAAAAATCAACAAGTGATCTGTTTACTAGAGGGATGTGTTTTTATTCTGAATTTGTTGACTTTTTATACACTGCGTCTCAGTTAGGATTATTTTAGCAATGGAATTGAAAATGATTCTCCGCTACATTCATTAGCATGAGGCACTCATTCACATTCATTCATGTTCAGGTAAATCTCAATAAATGACAATGTCGTGGAATTTATATTGGTTGTTCAATTAAAAAGTGGAACTCTTTATTTATTATCATTTTACATGTTCTCCCTGTCACTGTGTGGGTTTTCTCCGGGTACTCCGGTTTCCTCCTACATACCAAGAACATGCACGATAGGTTAATTGATGACTCTAAATTGCCCAAAGGCGTGACTGTGACTGTGAATGCTTGTCTTCATGTGCTCTGCGACTGGCTGGCAACCAGTTCAGGGTGTCCCTCCCTACTGCCTGAAGACAGCTGGGATAGAATCCAGTAGGCCCCGCAACACTCATGAGGATAAAGCAGTTCAGAGAATGGATGGATGGATAGCGCTGCATTGGCCCCAAACTACGCCAGCCCAGAAGACATATGCCCATGTACGCCAGAGAGCCAGTCCAGCCCTGGTAATAAGCAAAACAATCACAACCTGGTATACAGGTCAGTTGTGTTTAACTTTTTAGTCCAACACATTTGCATATAATCTTTAAAAACTATTTTTAATCTCTTATTAAGGCAATGTGTTGATGTAACACGTTAATTTATCTTACTTTTATTCATGAACGAATTAATATGATCCAATTTTAGTTTAATATTTTCAGTATTTCTTTAGGGAAATGTTGATGGCCAAATTAATACTGAGTATACGTTTGAGGTACAAAGCCTCTGTCTCGTTTTTGTTGAACCTTGAGTGCTCACCGCTACTTTATTTTAATGTTGGTCATGAAGGAAATACGTACTACAGGAGTGAGAGCGAGCTATGTCGCCGCCTCTCGCCTGCGAGACCAACCTCTGGGAAAAAGACAACCTTATGGGAAAAAAGAAATGCTATTTGTTGCTAGGCTAGCTACTTAGCTTCGCAAAAACGTACCACACGTTGGCTAACGTGGTCCAAATGCAAGACTACAACAGGGCGTTCCAGTAGTTTATAGAATTATTTCGGATAGCCGGGTCAAATGGTAAGCTGGTTCATCGGTCGGTCGATGTGTTTTACGCGGCTAGCTCGTGCTAACCCGTTTGTTACCCTCCGTATTGTAGCGACGCGGCTAGGTTAGCTTTTCGGCTAACTGATAACGTCCAAACATTGAACGTGTGATTCATATTGACATTCTTCCAGTGTAGTAACTACCAACAATTTGGAAGGAGTGGAGTGTATACAATGTCAATATATTTTTGTGGCCACGGAATACACAGGAGTTCGGTAATCGTTCAGTTTAGCTTGTTAGCGAGATAGGAAGTTAATGTTACTCGAATTTAAAAAGAAATCTCCTAGTTAACGGCAGTTAAACTTTGACATGCTGTGCGCCACTTTAGTTGGTGCGCAGGATTCATTGCAATCATTTTGTGTCCTGTGCAGGTTTATGAGTCTGTGCAGACATGGGCGACATGAAAACCCCGGATTTTGATGATCTTCTGGCTGCCTTTGACATCCCAGATGCCACAGGGTTGGATGCCAAAGAGCCCATCCAGGAGGGGAATGATGAGGGGCATCTAAAACACTCGGGAGTATCCGTCAATGACAGTTTACTGAGTAATCAAACAATCCCTGTTGTGGATATTCCTGCTGTGAGTGTGATTGTAAAAAACACGCATCACCATGAGCCATTGGAGGGTTTTGGAAATGGGCTCCACTCAGAATCAGTTTTGCCAAATGGATTTAATGGACAGAGATCTGGCGAGACGGCAAACAATGTATTCAGTAAGTCTTTTATCTCTGCTCTGAATGGGGAATTTTCAAGTGAATTTCTTGGAAAGGCACCTATTCAACACAAACCTGATGCAACGCCGCTTTTTTCCCAATCACAAGTTCACTCAAGTCCTATTTCCAGTCCTGAGCATGAAGACAGTCTAATAAGGAGACAAAATGTGCATTCCAAGCAAGAGAGATCATGTTTCCCCGAAGATTCCAATTTGATGGAACCCTCAGCAGCAGACAAGCTACAAAAGACGGAACTTAGTATTTTCAATGAGCTTCGGGAGGACATTGAGTCGTCCGGGAGAAGAAATGAGGAGCCACCTGACACCAGTGTCAGTAATAAAATGACAA